ACATACACATGCATGCACATACACACACATGCATGCACACGCACACACACACACATATACGTACACACGTACATTCGAACTGCAACAACAGCCACAGGCAACCGCACAGGCACTTCTGTGTGACAATGTGGACACCACTCTCAAGCACCTCCACTCCACGTTGACGCTGCACGGCATTCCGTTCGTGCCATCCACCTCAGCAACCTCGGCAACCTCGGCAACCTCAGCAGCGCACAGCGCGTTCAACCGCACAAACACAACCACGATGGATGATCCTTCAACTGTTTCAATCAACCTCTCATCCATCCAGCGCATGATGACCGCGTTTGGCTGCACGCGTGCCTCACAATCACCAGCTGCAATTATGCCATCTCCCAGCCAACCATCACAACAGGTGCACGTGAACACCACCACTGAAGATGCCACACCATCGTCACCTGCAATCCACCACGGCCCGCAACAGCTGAGCCGGGCTCGCCGCGAAGACTCGACGGTGCGAGCAGGCTTCTGCACGCTCGCCAGCATCATTGATGGCACATGCCCGGGACCGATTGACGTTTTTGGCGACCACCGCCTCACCATCACCTTCGCTGGCAACGAAGGCATCGGTGATGCCACAGATGCAAGCACACTGCGGCGCATCTCGGGCACCGTCACCACTCTCACGCTCAATGGCAACAGCAACGAGCAATCCCTTGTGTGGGTCCTCAGCAACGGTGACTGGAGTGCCTGCTCCACTGTGGATGTGCAACGTGCCAAAGTGACACACTTTGATCTGACCCACTTCAACACGTTTTCTTCCGTGCAGACGCTGCGCATGCGACACAGCCCCGCCCTTCAATCGCTCCAAGTCCACAGCTTCGCCAACGCCGGGCAGCTGCGCACCCTCAACTTGCAGAACAACTCGCTCTCGTCCATCCCGGCAAAGGGGCTCGCAGCCATGACGTCCCTGCGCCGGCTTGACCTGCGTACAAACCGCCTCGGCTTCGTTCACGAGCATGACCTGCAGGGCCTGACCTCGCTCCGAGAACTGCTGCTGACTGGAAACCTCATCTCTGGGCTCGCTGCCGGCGCGCTGGACGATCTCACGTCGCTTCAGGAGCTGGTTCTTGCTCAAAACGACATCACCGCGTTTCCTCCCCGCTTGTTCCGCCACCAGACTGCGCTGTCCAAGCTGAGGATGCCGCAGAACCCGATTGTGCACCTGGACGCAGACGTCTTCGCCACGCTCACAAACTTGGCTGATCTCGTGATTCAGGACACGCTGCTGTCCACCTTGCCTTCGACCATCTTTGCCAACACCACCCGCATGACGCACCTCACGCTTGCCGACAGCTTCCTGTCCACGCTGCCGAGCACCGTCTTCGCACAGCTGTCATCTCTGGTGACCTTGTGGCTGTTTGGTAACCGTCTCACGTCCCTCGACCCCACGCTTCTCCCGAATCAGCCATCTCTCATCGTGCTATCGATAGAGCGCAACGACATCAAGTCCCTGCCCGACGGCCTCCTGCGTGCTTGTGCAAACTTGCGAATGTTCACGTGCAGTGACAATCGCTTGACCTCGGTGCCTTCAACGCTGTTTGCGAACAACCCCAGCGTCACCAACGTCAACCTCGCAAACAACGCCCTCGGCTCTGTCAACGACCTGCTTGTCGCGTCGTCGTTGGACCACCTGCAGACCCTCGACTTGTCTGCGAACCACCTCACCCAACTGCAACTTCAGCACTCGCTCGCTGCCCTGACCCAGCTCGTCGTCAGTCAAAATCCACTGCAGCACGTCCCCAACACGAAGATGACGCCGGCCTTGCAGGAGCTACGCATGCAGGGTCACCGCATCAAACGCCTGGACCTCACCCCGCTGCTCAGCCTGCCCTCCCTCCAAGTGTTGGAGCTTGACGCAGCCCTCGGCGCCCAGAGCCAGGCTGCATTGGCCGCCAACCTGTCACCTTCCCCAGACCTCCGCACCCTCTCGTTAACAAACATGGACATCAGCGGCATCACGGACGCGCTGCAGCAGCTGCCGCCCCTCGAACTGGAGGAGCTTGGGCTTGGGTGGGCCGGCGCCGATCCCGACACCGTGTCGCTGTCGTGGATTTGCGATATGCTGGCGCAAAACGTGCGTGCACTCCGCCTCCCTCATTTCACCTGGGAAAGGGTTGAGCTGTGCAGTGGTCAGAACCTCAACACGGTTGAATTGCAGGGCAGCCCGCAGCTGCAGACTGTCATGGCTCATGGTGCACTGAGGGAGCTCAATGTGTCCGACTGCTCCAGACTGACGACCATCGTGGCGCCGTCCATTGACGTGCTTGACATCAGCAACACGCGCATGGACACCAACGCCGTGCTCTGCAGGAGGTGGGGTCGGCGTGTCCTCTTTGCACGCAACCTGGCCACAGACTTTTTCGACTTGCGTCAAGCAGCAACCACCGTGGGCACATGCCTGCATGAGGTGGATGTTCTTGACCTCTCTGACAACCCGTGGCTTGACAGTCCAGCCGTTCTCAATCAAGTTGTGAGTGCCAAGGTAGCCATGTCGGACCAGCGCCTTCGAACCGCTGGGCTGAACTTCATCGAGTCACGGCCGCTTCCCCCGCTGCTGCAGCTCCAGAACACCCCGATCGACTGTGCGCTCCAGCTCTCCAATGAAGACCTTCGCCATGAGTTTGATGACTCCAAAGTGTCGAATGAGATTGTCTACTCCTTCCACTGCACATGTGTTCGCGGCTTCAAGATGACGTCGGGTGGGCGGTGTGTGGTGGACAACCCAGATGTTGCCGGCATCGCTGCTGGCTCTGTGATTGGCGGCCTTGCCCTTGGCCTGCTCATGGCGTGGGTGTCACGCCGCTACCGTGGCCTGACCAAGCGCATCGGCCTGCAGGAGCAGCTGCTAGTGGAACGAGATGAAGAGGTGATGGCGCTGAAGAAGGCGTGGGAGATTGAGTACGATGAGCTGAGACTGGTTGAGCGCGTAGCTGCGGGTGCGTTTGGCGTGGTGTTCAAGGCGGAGTGGGACACAGTCACAGTGGCGGTGAAGGTGTTGCAGCAAGCCGTCATTGCATTTGACGAGAGCACGGTGCTTGAGTTTGAGAAGGAGGTGGAGTTTCTGCAGCGGACACGGCATCCGAATGTGGTGCGGTTCTTTGGCGCGGGCACGGATCCCAACGGCAGCCCGTTCCTGGTGCTGGAGTTTGTTGCTCTGGGGTCACTGAAAGACTTGTTGGGGAAGGATATGGAACAGGTGTTGAGGGAGGTGAGGAACAAGGATGTTGAGAAAAGCAGTAACGGCGGTGTCGGTGATGATGTGAATAGTGTGTGGGACTTGAAGCTGCGACTGCTTCGTGATGTTGCAAGTGGCATGGCCTTCATCCACAGCCTCGACCAGATGCACCGGTGCGTTTGTGTGTGTGTGTGTGTGTGTGCATGTGTGTACATGCATGTGCCTGTGTGTTTGGATACAGGCACGTGCTTGTTGCTCATTGCCCATCCAAGCCTCACCCCCCTCATCAACACCACATCCGCAGAGACCTGAAGAGCGGAAACGTGCTGGTTTCGTCGTCCCTTCGCGCGAAGATCACGGATTTCGGATCCATTCGCCAGTGCTTCACGCGTGACAGGAGCCAGCACAAGCAGCGCACCCGCCTGTCATCCACCCATGATGTTGATGATCCGCAATACAGCCCGCAAGCTGGACTGCAGACGATGACGAGCATGACGCTGACGGCTGGCGTGGGCACGCCGCTGTACATGGCACCAGAGGCATTGACGGGCGACAAGTACAGCTTTGAAGCCGACATCTTCAGCTTTGGGGTGCTGATGTGGGAGGTCACGACCCAGCGTGTGCCGGACTTGATTGAGCAGGAGAAGGGGAGCGGGTATCGGGGCCCGATCCTCGCCACCATCAGCAACTTAATGGCAGATGGGAAGCGGCTTCGGTTCGAGGATGGTGAACAAGATGGTGAGTTGTGTGCATGTGTGCATGTGTGTGTGTGTGTGTGCAGGTGTGTGTGTGTGTGTGTGTGTTGGCGTGTGTGTGTGTGTGTGTGTGTGTGTGTGTGCAGGTGTGTGTGTGTGTGTGATGTGCCTGGGTTGGTTGCTGACGCATCGTTTCTCCCCACTCACACACACACACACCTACCCTACAGCCATCCCCGAGTGGTTCCAGTCACTGACGTTCAAGTGTATGGCGCAAGACCCGCGTGAGCGCCCGTCGTTTGGAGAACTCAAGGACCACCACTTTGCTTAGCACTGGGTTTGACTGTTTGTTGCGGAGTGCCACAACAAGAGTCCCTTATCACTACAAGAGCATCACAAACCTTAAGCTTACATGGCCTTCGTAGCCAAGCGGGTTGAATGCTCGCCTCTTTATTGCCGCTCCGCAACGCTGTCTGCACTTCGTTGTGGGGTTATTTTTGTTCCACGCAAGCGCTCACCACCATTGATTCGTGTTTGATGAAGAAGCAAGACAGCACGTCCACGCAATGAGTTATGTTGCTCTTCCGCTATGTAATGAAACTCACCAAGACGAAATATGACATAATGCATCCTACCTCACCTTCACGCATATGGTGCACACTTTACCCACCCACAACCAGTAGCTTACGGCCGCTTTACACCCATCATCACACACACGCACACACACACACTCTCTCTCTTTCTTTCTCTTTCTCTCTCTCTCTCTCTCTCACACGCACACACACACACACACTCTCTCTCGCACTTCCCCCCCCCACACACACATACACCCCAACGCCACAAGAATCACACGAACGTCGATGCCTTCCTCCGTGTCCGGCTGCACTTTGATGCGGTCATGATCTCGGCCATACGGTCGTCGAGCGAGCGGCGCTGCTTGGCGGCCAGCTCCAGCAAGTGCGGTGCAATGTCCTCCATCATCGTCTCCGTCGGCAGCAGCGGCTGCGAGTCTGCACAGTCGTGGGCACCGAGCAGCAGGAAGGTCTTCATGTGACCCTTGCCCTTGATGGCAATGTGCCCGCGCGGCACAATCTCAAACTGGTGGTCCGGTGGCAGCGCCTGCGTGAAGCGGTATGTGCACTGGATGCAGCCGGACAGCCCGTTGCTCTCCATGCGCGACGCAACATTCACGGTGTCGCCAAACAGGCAGTAGCGCGGGCGTGCACGTCCAACGACGCCAGCCATGAGTGGGCCAGAGTGGAGCCCGACGCGGATGCGAAGCGGCTCGCCATCGAGCGGCGACTTGACGGTCTGAGCAGTTCGCGCCATCTCAATCGCCAGGCGGGCAATACGGACAGCGTGGTCGTCGCACTCGTCAGGACAACCCGCGGTGACCATGTACGCGTCGCCAATCGTCTCCACCTTGTAGCAGCCGTGCTTGTCGGCCAGGTGATCAAACTTGACAAACAGATGGTGCAGCATTGCCATTATCTGTTGCAGATGAGAAGGAAGGGGGGCGATGTGGAGAAAACGACTTGGGGGTTGAGATTGTGGCGGCATTGGCTGCACGTGCCTTGAAGTTGGCAATGACAGGAAAGCAGAGAGAACCCATAGCAAAGAGAACCCATACACACACACACACAAACACACGCACACACAAACACACGCACACACACACACACCTCTGTGGCTGGGACTTCGGACGAGATGTTGGTGAAGCCCGCAATATCGCAGAACAGCACCGTCACCTGAGAGCATAGCAACGCAGGAAGAGTGAGATACACAAAACTAAACGCGTGTCGCGGGCAATGTGGACCATGACAACGCAACAAGGCGCACCGTGACTCACGTTCTTGTAGTGTTCGGCTGGTGGGATCTCTCCACGCGCGAGTGCGCTCGCGACGACCTGCATTGTTGCAAGACATAAAATAAACATCATGATGAGAAACATGCAAGTAGCATCACACACGCACACATCCAGACACATGCACACAAAGCAAATACCACAACACACGCACACATACAGACACACACACACACACATACAGACACGCGCACACACACACATACCGGTGGGAGGATGCTGTGGAGGAGGGTGTCAATCTGCTCCTTCTTCTCCTGGACCTCGAGCATGGAGCGGTCGAGCTCAGCCATGCGCTTGTCCACCTCGTTGGTGTTCTTGGCCGAGGCAGACTGGAACATGGATCCATACAGCACCTCGCGTCCGTGGCTGTGCAGCGGCATCTCCGACAGCGAGATGCCCTGTGTCTCCATCTCCTCGAGGGAGTAGAGGGCCGGCACGCCAACGAACAAGAGCACGCCAGATGCCTCGTGGAAGGTCACCTGCCCATGCAGCTTGATGTTGTCGACCTTCCTTGCCAGGCGGGCTGCGCGCAGCATCATGTCCATGGAGGAGCGCTTCGACGATGCTGTGGAGTTGATGGCAGACCCTGGTGAGGAGAAGGGGCACGCCGACATGGCTGCCGTGCTGCGTCGCTGGTTGCCTCTGCTGTCTTCCGTCACCTGCAGCCGTGGCATCTGCTGGGACAGGCTGCTCACGGATGTGTCGGCGTTGTCACTGACGGATGCATCGTCGCTGCTGTCGGGCTGGACGAGGTGCTTGGCGTCCACCGAGAGAAGCACAGGCACGTCTTTCGCCTGCATGAGCTCGTCAAACTTGAGGCGCACGTGGGACGGGCGGATGATCTTGAACACGGAGCCTGCCTTGGCGCCAAGCTGCTGCTTCTTGAACCGTCCTGCCAAGTGCTTGCCAACAGACACGATGTTCATGTCGCGATCAAAGGCAACGTGCCAGGGGAACAGGTCGTTGGTGACGCTGGCAGGCAGGTCGACGGTGCACTGCTTCTTGGCCTCCTCGCTCTCCTCGCGCTGCTTGCCATAGCCGCTGCATGAGTAGTGGTGGATCGAGGGAGTGGCGTGAGCAAAGATAAATGCGGGCAGTAGAAAGGAGACATGGTTGTTGATAAGAGGACGGTATTCCACGGCCTATTAAATGAGAGAAGCGGGCAAGCGCGCAGGCGCACAGATAGAGGAGGCGCACGCAAGCACACAAGCACGCAAACAAGTATATGACACGCACACCACAAGTATCCACACACACGCACATACACATACACATACACAAATATCCGCACACACATTCACACACACACATTCACACACACACACACACACACACACACACACACACAAGTATCCGCGCACACACACACATACATGTGCTTACCTCTCGTCCATGAATGCGTAGAAGATGTCGTGGCTGTTGCCCTCTGACTTCTTGACGCGGTGGTGAATGGTGATGTCGAGGTCGAAGAGCTGCAGGGCGCACGCTTCGAGCGCACCGAGCATGAAGTTGGCCAGGCCCGCGTTTCTGCTGTAGTAGTGGATGGAGAGGGTGCCATCGTCGTTGCGGACGGGCCGCACGGAGGGCGCGCGCATCTTGGGGAACGACGCCATAAACGATTCGTGCAGGCTATCGATGTTGGAAAGCATGGTGTAGAAGTCATCGCCGAGGGTACGCAGGGCGTCGCCGTAGCCGCTCTCCAGCAGGCCGACGAGGAAGTAGCGGCCCGCGTGGTACTTGCACTCCTCCACAGTGTGCCCGGTAACATTGGCAATGGCGCGGAGAAAGGCGGCTGTTTGCTCGTCCGTGTAGAAGCGGAAGAAGTCGTTTGCGCTGCCAGCAAAGTTGACCTCGGCCAGCACCATGCTCATCAGCGTGTCGCCATCCGGAAGCGACTGCACCCAAGCAGATAGGGCCTGTTGATGAAAAAAATGCATTGATTGGGTGAGCGTGCGCTTGGCCATGAGTGGTGCTCGTGATGGTGGGCTCCAAAGAGGAGGGTGAGGAAGGTGAGGAAGGTGAGGAAGGTGTGGCGCATGTGATCACGGTGTGATCACCCTTATCTCTCTTCTCCTGTTGTCATCGATGCTTGTGACGTGTTGAAAGGTAGAAAGCTGGCAGGGCCACGGCAACATGTTGACATCATGGACCCACCACCACACACGCGCACACAACACAGGCAAGCAGGCAGCATGTTCTTTCACCTTGTGAAGCGTTCCATACATGCCGCTGGTCTTGGCGTTTGTGGTGGTCGTTGGTGCAATGGAGTAATGTAACAACCTTGGCCTTGGCAGCCTTGTCACCGCAGAGCAACAAGGCAACAACCTTCCTTCCAAGCCTATGTGTTCGCCAGCAAGCCTCACCTATCCTTTCTTGCTTGATGTGAGTGTACGTCTGCTCCCTTGTGCTTGTCGGTGTGCTGCTGAGGAGAATGACAGAATGACATGAAACCAACCTAAGCACCAACGGTCAGTGATGCGAGCCAACCCCCTTCGTATCCCTGGCGTGGAGATGTTGTGCTTGACTTTTGTTGTTGTTGTGGGTGTTGGTCTTGGTCTGTTGGGGGCTTGTTTGGGGCTTGTTGGGTGTTTGTTTTTGGGCTGGTTGTCTGCGCGAGGTGGTGCGAAACCGTTGCACGCTGGCAAAACCTTAAGCCTGGTCCATGTCAGTTTCGTCCAGCGCACGTTCGTCAGGTGTCGAGTATTAAAGGAAGTTATACACAATCAACGTTGACACAGTCCCCATTCGACACTTCAAAATTTCGTCATGTGACGTGGCATGTTGCAACCGTTTTCAGCACGCGAAGTGCGAAGTGGCGTTGTCTCTGACTTCTTCGCCACCCCACCGGAGTTTGGGCCGAGGTGCAAAGGCTGCAAGTGCGCTTGTGGTGGAAGTGAGGCAAACTGCCTCGCTCGCTCACTCGCGTTGCTTGCCCTGCTCCTCTTTGTCGACTTCGTTGCACTTCTGTCTTGTTGGAGTTGCGTGCGCTGCTGTCTTGGATGCGTGAAGCACAACCCATCGTCCACGCAAATAGAACGCAGACAGCAGGAAGAAACCAGGTGGTGAAGCAGGAAGTGGAGAAGGGAGGGGAAGGGAAGGGAAGGGAATACAAATAGAAAGAGCAACAAAGCTAGCAGTGTGGACAGGTGGTGAAGCAACAGTTGGTTCACGCTTCATGCGTGGCTGAAAGCGTCAAAGGGTCTTGAGCCAGAAGCAAGGCTTGATAGTGCATGCACCCACTTGTCCCTCGCCTCCTTCTCCAACGCGTACATTTTCAAATTGGACCCTGCAGCGGTTGTGCATGTGCGTGTGCGTGTGTGCGCGCGCGTATGCGCGTGTGTGTGTGAGGCGGAAAAGGGCAGCAACACACACAGACACAGACACAGACACACGCAGACACAGACACAGATACACAGATACACACACACACACACATTACTCGTGGCAGAGCAAGTCAGACAGCAAAACAAGCATCGCTGCAGTCGCAGCGTGTGCACAACAGCTGTACCACATACCATCGGCAAACGAGAGCTGGAAGGATGGATGGCGCGTTCCAGGATCAACAACAACGGAAAACGCACGGAGCAGCACGGTTCGATGCGGATACTCCTTGAACTGGGCAATGGGGGGGGGGCACATGGAGGCAGGGACGGCGTGAGGCACGGAAGAAGAAAGGGAAGCATGCACTTTGGCAACGTGTGGCACTAGCCGTCCACAAAACAACAAGAGCACACACACACACACACACACACACACACACACACACACACACACACACACACACACACACACACACACACACACACGCACAACTCAACTCAACTCACCGCCTCCCGGTCGAATCTGCCCTTCATATGCGATGACTGTCTGTAAAGGTGGAGTGCCGTGGCCGTGAGACGTGCCCAGTACACGCGCGCAGGCCGCCACTGCACACGCAATTTTACAAGGAGGGGGATGATGCGTCATGAGTGAATGAGTGAGTGAGTGAGTGAGTGAGTGAGTGTGTGTGTGTGTGTGTGTGTGTGTGTGTGTGTGTGTGTGTGTGTGTGTGTGTGGGAGAGAGAGCGAGAGAGAGAGAGAGAGAGAGATTGTATGTGTGTGCGTGTGTGTGTGCGCGTGTATCAGTAATCACCGGCCATGGCAGACCACCCAAAAAGAGCGCAAGCGAGAACGAAGCAAGTGCAAAATGCGTGCGGGCTTTAAAGGGACTCCCCCTTTCTGGCA